GTAAGGACTTTATTTCACATAAAGTCGGCAGTTATTACGCACGAATTAGGGGTCACGCAAATCAACCTTTTTGTTTTATGACAGTAAAGTTAGGTGCCAAAAGTTTTGCAAATTCGTGTACGATTTAAACGATTGCGCTTTACTAGCTTAAAAGCTTAGTTTTCAATTCGAATTATCAATCACACTGTGAAGGCCACGAAGTTCTTTATTTTTGCGGGAATATAATTTTTTGGGACAAAATTAAATTAATGCAGTGATAGTTTGTAACAAATTAAAGAATGTTCATCCTCTTCAAAAAACCAATCAAACATCCGCTCTTCCTTTAATCGTAATCCATTTTTCCATCCACGCTTTTCACAATCCCAATCCTACGCCCCATTCCGATTCCGAAGTCTAACTTCCCTCCTTCTATTGACGGATGGGCCTTTGCTCCTACGTAGCGACTAGTCATTCGAGCAGTGCAACGGAGTTAGCCAACTCTTCCATCCCCCGGCAGGGCAGTTCACGAGATTTTCAACTCTTCCTCCCGGCTGAACTCCGAACTTTCTCCCCGCGACACCAGACGCGTGACGTACTCCCCGGAAGATTAAGCCTCTCCATCCCTTTACGTCTCCTAAAGAAAAAGTCAGGTTGTTCCAAAAAGCGGTCGCAGGACGACGAGCAAACGGCGACTACAAATGGTCGGCTATTAATACAAGACTCAAACGAGGCCCGTTCCGAAATTGGCGGGGTCTCCGAAACTCGAGAAGTCGGCCTAATAGTGAGAGACGTAAAATACGAAGAGCTAGCAAAAAAGACGGGACAAAAATAGTAGGGTTATAAGACCGGAGGCGGACTCTCAGTCGAGAGTCAAATGTTGTTCCTTTGGCGTGACATCGACTCAGTCACACTCTTTTTCAAAAATCTCATGAACGAGGTACCTGTTCACTCAAACCGTTAAATGAGACAGGCTTATGTAAAAAGTGACTAGGTCTTACTGTTGTTACCCCCGGTGACCTTTAAAGAAGAAGAAGCGGGTAACATAAATAGTAAAAGGGTGCCAAAAATTTAAAAAATGACGTAGTGTGGACCCATTAGCAACTAAAATTGCTAAGGGCCAAAGACGGGGAAAGCGTAAGGTCAATAAAAGCAAGAGGTAAGTCGTCAGACAAGCTTCTCCGCATTTTTATTTCAGGGATACTGTTTGACCCTCTCTTTTATAATAATACTTTTATAAATTCAGTTAGACGGGATAAGGATGAAATGTTTAGTGGACGTATAACGAACTTAAGAAGCCAATAACTTGATGTTAATATATTTTATATTAGAGACGTAACAAATCAATGAAGATTCTACCACGTCAAACTCTTACATGGTAACGGATCAGAGAGACTACAATGTTGAGTTGGACGGAACTATGTCTCAGGTTGGTGTGTACAGGTTTGTAATCCGGATTAACTTATATTATATGAATCATAAATATCGATATCCCGATCGGCCGAAAAGATTTTGAGTTTCTGCGAATTTACAGTGACGGTATGTGTACGACGGTCGACGAGTGACAAACATTTTCATTTATTTATCATAAAAGTAAAGTTAATTACATGAAGATATTAGGGACGGAGGTTTTGTTAATGTGACTGTTTTTAAAAGGGAACACGAAGGACCCGAGACCCTACACCATGTCCGCGCCTCCTGTGTCCCCTCCGACGAAGTGAAGTATTTCCCTTTAACGCCAGGGAATATAATTGTTGTGTCCGTCGATTTTGCGAGTTATTGGAAGTAATGCACGATCCCTTCTCTTGTATTCTTAACTGTTCTACTCGACAATTATGCGTCAGCCTAGGCGACACGCATCTTTACTGTCTCTCTCCTCTCTCTCTCCTCTCTCTCTCTCGCTCTCTCGGTGCGCTAGCCTAGAACCCAGCGACCTCAGCGCTACACACCCCCCCATGCCGTAGCAAAGAAAAACCTACCTTGCCGCCACCGGACGGCCTTGACCTCTCTCTCCTCTCTCCCTCTCTCTCTCTCTGCGACTCGAGTGGTACATCGCTAAGTCGACTAATTGCCTCGTATGCTACTCCTCTCCTCGACGCCAGGCGCCCAGAGCCAGGAGTGGGGGACGGAGTGTGAGAAAGTAGGACCTGGCCTGGTAACAAAAACAGGATAGACTAGGCTCAAACGAAGGGTTGGGACGGTGAACGAAATCTACGGGGGGGGGCAGATTGACATGTCTCTAGCCGGCTCTACGTAAAGGAATCATTAGCTGTTCGGTTTGGTTTTGATTTTAAAGATTTGCTGGTTACGCCTGTACATGTTAACGCTATACTCCAAGACGGAAACATTTTGACTTATAGTTATTAACTGTTAATTTAGTCCCGCTTTTTGCATGAACAGGCGGACCTTTCAGTTACTTCAGAATGAACAAGCTTAACCATTTTTGTGCAGGGCCCTGCCACCGCTGCCACATAGAAAAAGCGTGTGACCTGTCTCCATAAGGTAGCTCAAATGTGTGTGAGCGCGTCATCCGAGCCTACCCTCTCGCCGGAGAGTTACCGCACAAAAACTACTCACTAATTTACTAGTCCGAGCCCATACTAATAACCGTCGTGCTCGCAAGGAGCCAGAGGGTGCTCTAGACTAAAAGGAACCACAGGGCGGGGAATCTGAAGCAACGGCCCCGAGGCATTGACTCACCTGTGTACCTTGGTGGTCAGAGTCGCTGTCATCTCGGATCAAAAAGTGGACAGGACCTAGGAGGAGACACAATTCAGAGGGAGGCGTACCACAGACATCAGAATTATATATATATTAATAATATAAGATATAATATGTTACTTTTGTGACTGGGTAAGTACACAACACGGGAGTCGGGACGTCACGTGCCTCAAAGGTTGAGAAGGAGGGGCGTCCTGTCACGTGTCTCAAAGGTTGAGAAGGAGGGGCGTCCCGTCACGTGCTCAAAGGTTGAGAAGGAGGGGCGATCTTGAGGTTGAGAAGGAGGGGCCTGTGGTACTGCGCACTGCAGTGAGGGGTACTACCTCCGAATGGCTCAGGGTCGGTGATGGGGAAATCCTGGCGTGGAGTAGGAAAAATTGCTGGATTGGGAGAGGCATAAGAAGCTGCAGCCGAGGTAGTTAGAGCTGAGATCTGGCATGCTAACTCAGAGACATGATGAGCCATGGACTGATTGCTCTCTACTAACGCCCGAATGAGCTGGTTGTGTTGACCCAGGAGGGAACCATGACTAGACAGGGCATGATGGACTGTGGCGGGATCCGCTCCAGTGCCTGCGGGGTTTATTCTTGGCCAGTTCTTCTGTTCGGTTTCCCGAGAAGTGACTGGAGATGAGAACCCGCTATGCAAGCACTAAAACCGAGACAGTGGTGAAGTGTCAAAAAAAGGCTTTATTTTGTCCACGACACTGACAAGGAGTTGACGAAGCACACGTAGAGGGAAGACGTGGAGCTGGATTCCGGGAATCAGAATGTAGGTAGCCACGCTCAGCCAGGGAGACAAAACAAACACAGACAGGAGGAAAAAGAAGGAGGAAGTACTGCAGATCCTCACACTACGTGTCATTTCTCATTTCACCTTTAATTCACTGTTTCAAAACGTAGTATTTAGCCACATGCTAATGCTAACCTTAAATTGAAGCTAACAATATTTACTCGCAAAAGTCGTTGTGTGAACTTCCGGTTTTTCAGAATAAAACAATTTTAAACTAAACAGTGTATTTAATTTCAAGTTTTCAGAATAAAACAGGTTTAAATTAAAACAGTGTATTCAATTTAAATTACGCCATATAAACATTTTATTTGTTACACTCCCTCGACAAAAAGCAATGGACTTCCTTGTCGTATTTTGGTACATAACAGAAAATAAGCTTTGTGGCTAACACCAATATGTTATTTTTGAAGCGTAAATGCAATCGGCGGAAATGAAAATGACACGAGGGAACAGGAATGCTAAGCCTTTTCTGCGTTCAAGACACAAATGACTGCCCCACTCAATGATCCCTAACTGTCATACATCTCTCTTCTTGCCCATAAACCAGTACTTCTGCCTGTCCCTTCACTACCCCAGCCCTAACCCCAAACTTATTTTGCCCCCCTCTCTTCCAGGTCATTGGGTTTATCCCTGGTTAGGCTTGTCATACTGATGGACAGGGACAGTTGGGTTTTCTGGCTTCAAATCAAGGCCAGCACTCAGCCTTTGAGACAACGCTGCATTCAATGAAGGGGTCCATTCCACCGGGTGAGCTGAGAGTCATTCAATCCACTGCTACCTCTCACATGCCCTGCCCAAACAACACACAAACACAGGAAGAGAGGGGGGGTCACATACACTTTCATATAGAGGCGTACGTCACAGACTCATGCATATTACTCAGAGCTCAAGATCAAGTGAAATAAAAGTTGGCTGAGCTACAATGATATCATATGTAGCTTGTCTCATTCAGATGATTATCAGGATCCTGAAGCAATAAACAGCACTGGGTCCACTGGATACAGATAGATACACATCCTCTCAGTTCTACAGACATTCCATCCACTCTGGCAGCAGCCATTTATCTGGATAATGATGCAATCTCCTAATTTAAGGCAAATTTCACGCAGAAATACCTCCTGCATTACTTTCGTTCATTTTTTGCCAGGCCTATGCAATAATCAAGATTAGGCCAACAATCTCATGTTTCTCTTGATGATGAATCCGACCCTGTGGCCATTTGCTGCATGTTGTCCCCTCCCCTAATAAAGGCCAAAAGTTAATTCCTAAAATATTCTTTGTTGGCTTTTTTTTAATTATGTTGGCATTGGACTGGTGTCTTTCTGGCTTCCATTACAGCATGTAGTTGGTTTTAATCCAAGCTATTCCTGTAAATAAATACAAATCTGCTCATTCTTGCATGTCCGACCTAGTGGACCTAATTTATTCTGAGATCTCAGCAGTCCTTGCACTAAGCTGAATGCCACACTATACAAAAATCGTTTTAAAAATGTGCTATATAAATAAAACTTGATTTGATTTGATACAGATAGTGCAAAATGCAACACTTTAAGTCAATACAGTTTTATAGCGTAACATTAAGAAAATATGAAAATCCACTAAGGAAATCCAATTGGTCTTTGTCGAGGGAGCCCTTGTGATGCTAACTTCCGGGTCGGCCAACAAAAAGACCTCTTCACTTCAATGCCCACAGACAATGTAACAGACCTATTAGCACTATTAAGATATCAGGCCAACGCTCGATCTCAGCTCTTCAAACAGGGACTCCTACTGTAGTCACAGTGCTGCCCCTGGCCAAATTGGAAATCAAGTGTTAATCCCACACGAGTAGGACGTGAGTGTTTAGGTTTGTTAATATCTGCCCTGAAGGGAGTAGGAAGTAGGAAGTAGGAACAGGAAGTAGGGTTTTCTGCGGCCCTCTGGATGAACTGGTCCGCAGGTCACACAGTTTAAATACAAAGTAGTTCCTAACAGCTGCAACTCAAACGTTGTTCCCTTTGACAGTATAGATGTCAATCATAGAAGCACAGCAACCAGCAGGTCAGGTGTTGTGCCATAAATCTGTGTCCCATAAAAGTGTATTCTTATTAATGTGACTTTTGTGGCCTTCGAATGGAACCAACAACAAGTCATCACAATGTGCTTGTTATTCTCTTGTGAATTTCAAAGACCTGCTAAAAAAATAAAAACTGTGATAAAGACAATTTAGAGAGTAGCAGCCATTGGCTCTTACATTTTCAACAATACATTCTGAAATTGAATTTTAAAATAAGAGGTTTTTAAGTGCCTCTTAAAGCCACCTGTTTTAGCTAGTTTTAGGTTTGCCCCCAAAAGCTTTATCAATGTAACTTGAACAGCACTTCTCACCATACACACCTAAGGATGCCTCTGATTCCCTGATTAAACCTTAGTGTCAGATATTCCACAGGACAAGGCAGCACACCTGGGCTAGGTTAGGACCCTGCTGCTCCATCCTCCACGGCTGCTGAGTAGGCAGAGCAGCGCCTCCCTCCACATCCTGCCTCCATGTCACCCCCCAAGTCTATAAACTCTGGGAAATTCCCAGCCTTGTAATGTGACTGTATAAAACATAATACTATGTGCAGGATTCTCACTGCGTCCTTAGTCCTGTGCTACTACAGCCACAGATGTTTGAGCAGGCATCCAGGAACCCTGGCGAGGTCATTTGCTTGGAAAAGAGGGAAGAAGGGAAGTGTGTGTGTGTGTGTGTGTGTGTGTGTGTGTGTGTGTGTGTGTGTGTGTGTGTGTGTGTGTGTGTGTGTGTGTGTGTGTGTGTGTAGTAGTAGTAGTAGTAGTAGTACGTAGTAGTACGTAGTAGTACGTACGTAGTACGTATAGTAGTAGTACGTAGTACGTACGTACGTAGTACGTACGTACGTACGTACGTACGTACGTACGTAGTACGTAGTAGTAGTAGTAGTAG